ACGGGGTTTCACCATGTTGACCAGGATGGTCTCGATCTCTTGACCTTGTGATCCACCCGCCTCGGCCTCCCAAAGTGCTGGGATTACAGGCTTGAGCCACCGCGCCCGGCAATTAATTATTTTTGAGACCGAATTTTGCTCTTGTCATCCAGGCTGGAGTGCAGTGGCACGATTTTGGCTTACTGCAGCCTCCGCCTCCTGGGTTCCAGCAATTCTCCTGCCTCAGCCTCCCTAGTAGCTAGGATTACAGGTGCATGTCACCACACCTGGCTAATTTTTAAATTTTTATTTGTTTTAATTAATTAATTTTGAGATGGAGTCTCTTTCATCCAAGCTGAAGTGCAATAGTGCAATCTCAGCTCACTGCACCTTCCATCTCCCGGATTCAAATGATTCTCTTGCCTCAGCCTCCAGAGTAGCTGGGATTACAGGCATGCATCACCATGCTGGGCTAATTTTTTTATTTTTAGTTGTCCAGGCTGGTCTCAAACTCCTTTCCTCAGGTGATTCACCCGCCTCAGCCTCCCAACGCCCAGCTAATTAAGAAAAAGTTTTTTGGGGGGCATGGTGACTTACACCTATAATCCCAGCATTTTGGGAGGCTGCGGGAAGCAGATTGCTTGAGCCCAGGAATTTGAGACCATCCTGGGCAACATGGTGAAACCCCAACTCTAACAAAAAGCAAAAATCAGTTACAAAAAAGATTTTTTTAGACAATGTCTTACTCTGTCCCCTAGGCTGGTCTCAAACTTCTGCTTCCTGCCCTACAACATTCCTTCTCTACAGGTGTGGCCTACATGTGAACTAAAAGTATTCTAAGATCTATACTTTATTATGTATTTTTTTGTATCTTCTCTGCATTCCAACTTGTACATACATTTAGTGTTCTGGCTTTCTATTGGTGTGTTTCATAAACCACAGAGTTAAACCCAAGAAATATAGGACTTTCATGCTTTGAACTTAGTTTTAAAAAATAAAATATAAATAAATAAAACAGTGGTTTAAGACAGCCAGCTTGTTTTGCTCAATATTCTTTTGGCGAAGAATTCAGAGATAAGGAACTTTATCTCTGTTTCACATGGTATTAGAGTGGCTTATCTGGGGCTGGGGTATCCACTTCTGAGTTGGCTCATTCATGGCTGGTAAGTTGATGCTGCCTGGTGACAGGGAGCTTAGCTCAAGCTGTTGGTCAGTGTCCTTGATACCCCTCCATGTAGACCTCTCCATGGGCTGCGTAGGTGTCCTCAAAGCACAATAACTGGATTTTAAGATTAGATAATCCAAGAAATGGGAAAGGAAGCTACCAAGCTCTTAAGATCCAGGCTTGGGAACTTGTATAGCAACACTTCCATTTTACTCCATTGGTCAAAGCACATAACTGGCTCTGATGGGTGTTTACCAACTTGCCCCCCTTGACCCACAAGCCCCAGGCTTCTAGATTAGAAACGGCTACAAGTTCTAGGCCACTCTTTCCTTGGAGAGGTGAGTCTGTGCCCTTTTTCCTAAATCTGGGTGGACCTACCCTTCGGCCTGCACCCTTGTGGTCACCTCCTTTTCCCGGTCAGTCCCCTTTTTTTTAAGTCACCCCTTGTTCTCAGGGTGACCTTGTGGTCTCTGGAGAGCCCACATATTTCTGAAGATCTTGGCCCATGTGGCAACTCATTTTTTTTTTTTTTAGATGGGATTTCACCATGTTGGTCAGGCTGGTCTTGAACTCCCGACCTCAGGTGATCCGCCTGCCTTGGCCTCCAAAGTGCTTGGATTACAGGTGTGAGCCACCACGCCCGGCCGGCAACTCACTTTCACAGAGCTCTTTCTAGTTTGCAGAGTGTTTGCATAAAGTTTCCTTGTAATCTTTGTAATATCCCTACAAGCCAGATGCTAGTCTGACCATCAGATACAGAGTGGTGGTTCTGGAGGGGTACATTTCTTGCCCAGCTTCAGATTTAATCCTGAATATCCATACCCTGCATTGGTTGTCTTTGTTCCAGTAGCCATTGGAATGTTTTTATTTTGTTTTGTTTTGTTTGTTTGTTTGAGATGGAGTTTTTTTGTTTGTTTGTTTGCTCTCTTGCCCACGCTGGAGTGCAATGGTGTGGTCTCAGCTCACCACAACCTCTGCCTCCCAGGTTCAAGTGATTCTCCTGCCTCAGCCTCTTGAATAGCTGGGATTATAGGCTTCCGCCACCACGCCCAGCTAATTTTTGTGTTTTTAGTAGAGACGGGGTTTCACCATGTTGGCCAGGCTGGTCTCGAACTCCTGACCTTGTGATCCACCTGCAGGTGTGAACCACTGCGCCCGGCCCCCATCGGAATGTTTTACATGGCTTAATCTTGGCCAGAAGTGCCTTGAGGTGATACAGCAAACTAGATATTTGCTGTATCTGGCAGAGAGATATTTAACAGGCTTATTCACCAGGAGTGGTAAAGAGATTTTACTGGGAAAACAGGATTTTATCTGAGCATATTTATCTGTGGAAAGCAGACCGTTTTTAGTAGCTGATGAGCTTGTAGAGAAACAGATGAAGATGTGTGACTGTTCATTCCAGTCTTCACCACCAGGATTATATGAGTTGGAGAGTCAGAAGGTCAGAAAGCCTGATCTTGTTCCTAGAGCTTTTGTTTCCCCATCTGTAAAGCAGGATTTAAAAAGTCTTTATATTAAAGGAGTTTTTTTTTTTCTTATTATAATAATGATGCATAAATGTACACTGTGGAAAATATAGAAAGGGAAAAAGAAAATCTGTGGTTTCTACCACTCAGAGTGAAGTTCTCTACCTTTTTTTTTTTTTTTTTTTTTTTTTTTTTTTT